TGTCCTGATGCTGGATGTAGATTCTGAGACTAGTGTTCGCATATCTCTTGATATTATCCTCCCACATATATTTCACTGTCTACTTTTTCCCCTCCACAGTCTACACCCCCACAACCCTCTCCGCGTGTTGTTTTAAAAGAAGCGTTTTAATATGCAATTCGTATTTTATGTTTTATCTCACTCAAAAGCACATTTAATTATTAGTATCTCTAGAACCATCTTCCTTTTGATTTGCTTCCTTGTTATTGTTTTTTTAATCCATGTTATACATTTTATTTCGCATACTTACGTCCCCAGGAGCTCAGTTAAACTTTCTAACAGCTTGTTCATTGCCCAGATGTCTGCTACTTTCATTAGTCTAAGGCCCATTTCCGAGGTCATAGAGAATGATTTCGGGGATTTTCAACTGTTATTATAAACTATTTTATTAGGCATAAACGTGTGGTGTCTTAAAATGTTCGGGAAACTACAGTTGTGTGTGATCTTTTGTGACATTAAGGTTTAAAAGAGCGCTGAGAAAATATGGAACATTCAGCGCCGAGTGTCTTGGAGCTTGGAACTTGGAAACAGAAAACAAAAATGTCAAGCTTTGTCCTCTTTCAGCCGTCCGAAGGCCTGCTTTATTGGGGACGATTTCTTTGCTATCTGAATTTAGTTTCTTTCTTGCGGCGATTATTTCGCCAACGTTTGATTTTTTTAGCTGCTGCATCATGTCTGCGCGGTCAGGCTTGGCAGGCGGTTTAAGGTTTTTTGGGAGTGGATCTGGCAACCCTAAAAAGGACTGCCGTTTTCGCCAAGGGGCGGCCTGGAACGGGAATGGGCGGGGAGCGCCGAATGCCGCTGCTACCATTGCAACCGGAACCCTGGACACGGCTCAGTAAACACAACAGCTGACTGAATACCGTCTAGACCAGCGGATCTCAACCTGCGGGACAGACCGCTTTCTTGAAGTTAAACGACCATATCACAGGGTCGCCTAAGACCATCGTAAAACACATATTTATTGAAGTTAGGAAGAGAAATAATTGTCTGGGAGTTGCCACAACATGAGGAAGCTGTATTAAAGGGTCACGGAATTAGGAAGTACCAGAGCCACAGGTCTAGACATCGTCATAGTTTCAAATGGTGCCGATCTTAAAGTGGGCGCAGGTAAGTCTAAACACGAACTTTTGCTGACATTTTCTGAAGCAACACGCTTAAATCCATTATTTTATATCGACAGTTTACAATCCCGGTAATCATTCTCGGTGACCCTATATTTGTGACTGACAAATTTAATTTCTTCTGATCGATTGGATGAGTAAAATGTTACCCTCATAATGAAAAGATATGTGATCTGAGAGAAGAAGATCCCACTTTTTGGAGCAGAGAACATTTATTCCCCTGTTTAGTTTGTTGTTTCGTTTAGTTTTGTTTAGTCGTAGCTGGGATTTTTGTCAGAACGTTGGATAATGTGATTGTTTTTCGTTTCGTGAGATAGATACTGAAATTATGTGTAAACTGTAGGTTGCATGGGTTAGGATAATGGTTTTCATGTTCTATCTAAGCGGTGATTTTCAACCTGTTGCAGATGGCGCTGCGTAAATGTATGGCTTTACCCCCACTCCCCCTTTTAGAAAATGTGATTTAAAAAACTCGATTACAGAAAGAAAAATCCCCAAACAATTTGACAAGAACTTAGAGAAAAACATAAGACGAATCAAAGTGTTAAATAACACAAAAGCAACACCAACAACAACTAGCAGTTTAGTGTCTGAATATCTTGGGGTAAGCGCTCCCCTTTACCCTTCCATTCACAATTTAGCATGTTAATATTGTAAAATCCTGGAAAGTAGAGGCGGCTGGGTGACGTTGACCATATCACCCAATCACTATGCGCCCAATATGTCTAAAGGCGTGGGAAAGAGTCATTTCCCTCTAATTATTAATACTAAGCTGTCAAACATGGCTTAACTCCCTCAGACCCCACTACCAATCCCATTCTGAAATTTATATGAAGGGACTGTGACTCCCCTACTATGTTTTTGTTCGAGTCGCCGCCCCTGAGACATCCGTCAGTATCACTTGCTAATTCACTGAAAACGCCGAAGCGCTAGCCGGGACCACAGGGGAAGGGCAGATGTTAACACAGCAATCTACTAAACATGTCGTAGGAGACAATACCTTGTTGATATCTGCTAATTTTGGTCTGATTTCGGACAAAGCACAATGAAGATCACTCTCCACTTCAAGCTGGCAGCGCTGTTTTGTTTTCGTGATTGAATATTTCCTATGTGATTAAAATAAAATAAAGCACAATGTTTCTCGCATTTATAACGAAGTCCGTGGTTTAGGCATTGCGAGTCTGACTCGTAATTCCAACGTATCGCAATTGAAACCCACTGACTGCCTAGATTTTTATCATGGTATGGGGCGTCGCAATGTCGACCCAGCCTAAAATGAAAACCATAAGGCAATTGTTCTGGTGAAGTAAAGACGGCCGGCGTAATGATGAACACATTAACAACCTAATGCTGACTGGCCTGAATAAATATGGGTTCGTTTTCCTTAAGCCCGATGCGCCTTTACTTACCTAACTTTCCTGCTTATTGGCCATAGAGGCAGTAAAGTAAAGGACCCTTTTCCACGCCATCAGGCGTATAGGGCATAGAGGGCTTGACCTATATTTTATACACCAATCGGAACTTAGTGGGTGATCTAGCTAGCATCACGCCGGCCGCCTTTGCTTTCCATGACTATACCCGGTACCCGCTGAAATCTGCGTCCACCTGCAAGCCAAGGCCATTTTTTTAAAAGTCCGGCTCCGTCAGGACTGGAACCCACGACTTTCCGATCGCAAACGAGCGTCTAGCCGCTACACCACTGTGGCACCCTCTTTATAATGAAACTAGAAACAAATGTGAGTAGATATATACAGTATCACATTTGTTTCACGCCTCCCTTTAAAATTTCAATGCGCTGCCTACAGGGGCGCCACCCAGGGTTTGAAAACCATGGAGTAAACAGTGTCGTTCATATGCAAGCTTGGAGCGTTCCAGTGACAAACATGTAAATAAAAGTTGGAGGGCAAATCGGTTTTTTGACAATAATGAAAATAATTTGAAAAAAAAAAAGGTTTTGCTACATAACAGGAATTACGATAAAGGATATAAAAGAAGGACAAACATGATTGAATAAGTTCGTGTGAATGATGCTTAGAGAAAAGAAGATAATAACAGAAAACAGCAATAACAAAATGACAATAACAAAACAACAGTTAAAGCAATGAGAAATCTAGCTAGCATACAACTCAGCCAAAGGGTCTATGTCTATTTACGGAGCACGGACATGGCTGAGAAAAGGATAACTTGATAAGTGTGTAGTTATTGTTGGATACACTTGTTTAACGTTATTGTTTAATCATATTCCATGTTGCTATATTATGCGGACTAACAGGATTTGAACATAAATGGTGGGAAAGAGAGAAATCCGACCGCCAATAAATGAGGCAAAGTATCATAAGCAGAGATAGTGGGAAACACAGATAAATAAATGCAGAATAAAAAGAGATTAAAGGAACAAGATTAAGTAGAGAAATATACGGATATATATATATATATATATATATATATATATATATATATATATATATATATACACACATACATATTGGGAATATTAGATGATGTAACAGCACACTGACAATCATAAAATAGAGAAAACTGAATGGTATGTGTGAAAAGATATCACATGAAACGAAAATTAGGACCACTCAGTTTTATAATAACACAAACAAAAAGCGAACTTTGCAGCCTCCATCAGTAAATCACACGAATACACAATACTGCAAGCGAGAACAAGAACTCACACACACTCACAAAATAATAACAGAAGTGTTTGCGAAATGAATCACATATCTGTCTGGTTAGCTCAATCTCTGACACATGTATGACCACCGGAAACCGGAAACAAAACGGTGATATCACAAAATACAGTTCATACGGACACAAACAGATAGTAGAAGTTCTCGAAGGGAGGGACACACACGAGAAGTAAAAATAGGGAACTGCAGCCAGTCTAAAAAAAAAAAAAAAATAAGAAAATATCAAACGAAACAAAATGTATAACCAGTAGGCTTGATGTTATCACAAACATAAATGGCTGTGCGACATCTCGGGCAGCAATTTAAATAGGAGGAGAATGTTGAAAGACAAATGGGACCTATTGTGTTTGTGATTTTCTGTTTGCACCTGTCCGTCTTTCAAGAAAGAGAGATGCCGAGGAAGGTGAGAACAGGCATGTTTCATGCAGTGGCATGCTTGGATTCGGAGGTCACGGGTGAGAGACATTGTCTGCATCTTTTCTCCTGGATATGCGGTGTGTTGGGAAAGGAACGCGCAAACAGACCGGCTGGATCTGCACAGCTTGATGGAATACTGATGATAAGGCAGTTGTGGTTAGGAACACTTGTGGGAAAACGTGTACAATTCGGAGGAGCAAATGGATCACGACAGTCTGGTTTAAGTGATGCAGCCAGGAGTGACGAAGGGATCTGCTTGATACTCTACGCTCAGAGAAAAGGCAAGACGGACGTATAATCATAATGCTACTGGCATTATTGGTATTGGAACTCTGCGCTGGCTGCTGAAAATGGGAATAGAGCGATTATGGTTTTGGTTATTTAGGTGGTTGGTTAAGTAATTGATCAGCCGATCTGTTGCTGATTCGGTTGGTTGGGTATTTGGCTGGCTGAACGCTGTGATATCTTAAAAAAAAAAACCCCATCTATTTGACTTGAAAACTTTTTTTTCTAAATAAACAGAAGGAACTAAGTTGATTACAAAGTCTCTTACAAAAAATATCACTCAACTTCAAGGTCTTTACAAATTCTTAAAAAAAAAAAAAAAAAAAAATACAAGAGCGACGTACTTATCGAGGTCTTGTGCATAATGAAAGTTACCTATTTAACTCCAACGTCTCAAACAGTCTTACAGTCTTAAAAGAAAATAAACGTCACTTACTTGATTCCCAGATCTCCTAAAAGTCCTTCTCTTTGAACTAGTTCCACGGACAAAGCGAAAGGGCCCATGCTGGAGGCTAGGGTAAACTCCTCCATGTTTTGTCTGTAGATGGAAAAGCAAAATCTTGCTTAAAAACAAGGACAACAGCGTCCAGAACACACGGGACAATACACATTGTGTGCATATGTGAGTGTACTGTGGGAGTGACGAGCTCTGCTACGATATAAAGATGTGTGCATATGGTACAGGTATTGAGAAATGCCATGGACTGTGGTGTGTAGAAAAGGGGGAGAGGGGAGGGGGCCTAAAAAATGAAGGAAGAAACTATAAAAGTGAACGGATTTAAACACCCAAGTGATGGGATTTGAAGACTGTTCAGTCTGCAACTGAGCCTCCTAATCTTCGCTGAATGTCACTTAATACGCTCTGATGTATTTCAAATGCTTTTTCCCCCGTGTGGGTTCCACGTCCCTATTGTGGATTAACGATGAACAGACCCACTACCTTCATATTAAGCATGTCCTAAAAGGCGACTAATTAGTGACCTTTTCTCCGAAATGGAAGCACATATGCCTCAGAGGCGAAGAACCAACAGTTAATACCAAAACAAAACAATCTGTAAAACTGATTTGCACGCAAAATTCAAGTTCTGAAACAAGATTAAAGTCAAGAATTGGACAAACAACCAGAACATTCTTTCACATAAATCAGTTTGTACATACTGTTTGATTAAAAAAATAATAAACACTACAAAATTTTTTTTTTTTTTGTTTTGTTTATATAAATTGACTTCAAAAGCTAAAGCGCACCACAAAGTTATTGCCAAAAAACACAGACAAATGAACTCTTTTGCAGTTTATTGAATATTAGGGATTCGGATTGTTTGTTTATTCCTGCGCCTCCGCCCCCCTCCCCTCTTTCCCTCTTTTTTGATAACATACTTTAGTGACGTTATTTTCTTTTCTAGGGAATTCATTATGTGATGTTTTATAAATGAGAGTAAAAAAAAAATGTCGACCTATGATCAGCACATAGCCTCAAATCGCAATAACATACACAGAGAGTATTTATGAAACATTTTGGTTCTATATGTTATCATGATACAAATGAATAATCAGTGGCCAGGATTTTGTACTAAATCATTACAAACTAGTATCCTTGTTAAACCTCAGGTTCGGCAAAATGTTATCTTCTCGAAGCTGCCTCTGGTCATAGGGATCTTTCCAAACGTAAAATTCCTAAAAACATTGTATTAATACAAAAAATAAAACTTTTCTACACCTTCAGACTATTCGGCATAAAAGGCTAAATCTAAATTCATTGACCAATCGATTGGTAATGTGGTCAGCATCAGGCATGCCAGCCACCTTAACTTCCCAGGTCTGTACGTGGTGTCTACTCGAGGCTCAGTTGACCTGTGAGTCAAGATCATTTTTAGAAGGAAAAAAAGTTTAGCTCAATCAAAACCGCAACCCCACGACCTTCCAGTTAGCAGGCGAGCTTCTAGTCGCTCTACCACGGAGACTCGGAAAATGGTACTGCAGAAAATTATGACACACCAATTGCATTGTCACACAGAAAGCGCTTGCGCGCGCGCTCGTGTGTGTGTGCATATGTGTGCGAGAGTGTATGTGCGTGCTTGCGTGTGAGTGCGTGCATGTATGTGTGTGTGTGTGTGTGTGTGTGTGTGTGCAGAGTTCGATAGCTTCTGTGGAAATAGATTATAAACCAAAGGCAAACTTATTGACCTGACACGCATACCATGAATGACCTTATTAAAAGCCTATGAAATATGTGTTGCAATATATTCTTGTAGTTTGACTAATAAAGGAAGAACAACGCGTAATGCGTTGACTCGTACACGCGAAGAACAACCACTGGTAGACTTTGCCTAGCTTGTGACAGTAAAAGTTAAGACCGATGTATGTGAACAATTAGTCTAAATTGTATCATCATTATTCTGTTAAAACACTTACCATTAAAAATATTCTCAATGTTTGGTATTCTCGTACGTTTCATTGTATAACCTTAATGAGTTGTCGGTATGTTTGTTCAAAACCAATGTTGATCGAATGCAGTCTGAAACATGCCAACCCTGGGGCATTCCTGGATTTCTTTTGCTTATTTTCTTTTTCTTTTTTCTTTTTCTGTCTTGTTTTCTGCAGTGTTGTCACGATGCTGTCAGTATTGTACATATTTGTCACTGGTCAGGTCACTGACTTCACATATATTTGTTTACATAAAATCTAGGACAAGACACGGGGATAGATGGTGCATTAGCCTACATTGATGGTTCAGTACAATTGGGGGGGGGGGGGGGGGGGGGTCAAAATTTGGCTGCTTATTTTATTATGTATAGTGTTTCTACGGCTTCAAGGGTGCCCCCTCTGTTTATTTATGTGTATTAGATGTAACGTAGTGGAACCGACCAATCAAATATATTTCTGAATTGTTCACTGTATTCTAGACACAGCATTACATATGGGAGTGGGGTGGGGGGGGGGTGGAGGAATAGTTGGTAATGTTTTTTTAGTACACTTGTTTTCACAGCGGGGCGCTTTCGTCATTAGGAGATGACAGGTTCGAGTCCTGATACAGCAGCTTAAGATTTCAAAATGTATGTTGTCTAGTGTGTTCTTAACATCAGAGAAACTTTACAGCACCACGATATGTCTATGGTTGAAGGGGGCAGAAGTGCAGGAAGCAGGACCTTATATCTTCCTCGACAGTTGAAGCGGTAAAAGAGGACACAAAGAAGAAGAAGAAGAAGAAGAAGAAGAAGAAGAAGAAGAAGAAGAAGAAGAAGAAGAAGAAGAAGAAGAAGAAGAAGAAGAAGAAGAAGAAGAAGCGTGTTCTTCTATCTTTCTACTTCTTTCTATAATTGCCCATCTATAGACAACACGGTTCTTTTGTTTGTTGTTTACAGTGCATGGAAACGTCGTGGCAGAAACAAATTGTGATTTTGTAGTTGTTTATTCTACAACTTCAAACATGATGATGGCAGTGGAGGAAGTCTGTGCTGAAGTGGATGGCTGAAACACACTCACGACACGCACGCACGCACATCAAAGGTCCGACAATTAAGTAATGAGACTGATTTTATTATGGTCAGGACAAAAATGCCATCTATGAAGCAAAACATGGAATCTAAAGAGGCAACATTTATCTATGATCTGGCAACTTTTCATCACCGCTCGATAAGCAGACAACAAACAAGCCGCCATTTTGTTGACCTAGTCGAAGGTGCATAATTACGTAATCAGCACGGAGTAGAAAAGCTAACATTAAATTCTGTTTAAAACTCAGAAAAAACGCCATTGAAACAGTTCAATTGATGCAACAAGTGTATCGGGATAATTGCTTATCTCCTGCAAACATTTTCAGGTGGTATTCACGATTCAAAAGTGGTGAGGAAATTATTAATAGTATACCAAGACCTGGACACCAAATTTCTGTTCGTAATGATGAACTCATTGCACAAGTCATAGAACGGATACAAGAAGATCATTGTTTGACTCTAAAGATGATGGTAGATGAATCTGGTGTTAATAGAGAGACATTTCATAACATTTTAGTGCAAGATTTTGGCAAGAAAAAAGTTGCTTGCCGGTTTGTACCACATTCGTTGTCTGATGACCAAAAATGTCAGCGGGTTGAATACCCAAGAGACATAATCAAAAAAATAATTTGTGGCCCTAAAACAAGTGTGTTCTCAGCCTTCCACCCTATTCCCTAGATTTGTCTCCCTGTGATTATTTTCTATTCCCAAAATTAAAGTTACGATTGAAAAGACGCGTCTTTAACGATATTGATGACATCCAAAATGGTGTAACATCGACATTAAGGGCTATGATAACAGAAGAACTAGAGAGATCGTTTCTGTGTTTATTAGATCGTACCACTTGCTGTATCAATGCAAAGAAGCTTTTTTTTTGAATGAAATAAGTTTTTATTTATCCTCAACTGTTGATTATTTTACTTTGTATGGAATTAGTATCATTACCTAATTGTCGGACCTTGTACAAACACTCGCTAACATGCACAAAGGTAAACACACACACACACACACACACACACACACACACACACACACCAGCATTTACCAGAGGAATCATAGTCTCTGATATTGAGTCGATATTGCAGAAGCTGCAAATGGACAGACTGGTATAAGACAATAGCAAGCATAAACAGGTCTACATTACGGTGACACGTCGACATGCTGTCCTAGAGTTTGTCCAAGGAAGGAAAACAAACAGTTTCGAAGTAATGAACATGGGGAGTTTTGCGGAGTAATGTAAAAGTGGAATTGTTTGAAGTCATGACAGAGCGCAATATTTGGAAGTAATGAATGAGGATATGTTGTCAACAAAGGCGACAGCGATAGGGAACCTCATTTTGGAAGAACATCCTTGAACGTAAACTGATAAAAGATACAAAGTTAGATGAGAAAAAATATGTAAGGCTGCACGAGTTTAAAATTAAAGTGTGGATCTGGTAAAAAAAAAGAAGATGTAAAAATCGGACGGTTATGAAATTGACTAATATTTTAATCCTAGCCAACTGTGATATTCTGACTATGTTTTTCAAAAATACGACTTAACGATAGCTGCAAAATGGGTGGCGAAAGAACTAGATGAAGGCAACTAAACTACTTAATCTAGAAACAAGAATACAGATCTTCTCAGATCTTCTGGCTATCTTATAAGTTCGAAAGCATAATCAGCACATCATTTTGATGTTACAAATTGTTTCAGCCTCTGTCTTTTCCTTGTTCTTCTTATCTCTCTCTTTTACTCTCTTTTTCTCTCTTTTCTGTTCTCTCTCTCTCTCTCTCTCTCTCTCTCTCTCTCTCTCTCTCTCTCTCTCTCTCTATTTCTCTCTTTTCTCACTCTCCTTTTTCTCTCTCTCTGAATGTATGTATGAGTAGTAACATCTTTAGCTGAGATTGTACCTACCCTGACTTTAATATTAGCATGTAATAGTTATGTAATAGTTTTTAATATATGCTAAATATCAGGTCTTGGGTTCAACTGCCAGGTTTTTTTTCCTTCTATGAGAAATTACATTCACTTCAAGATCGACTAGCCTGAAATAGGTAACAG